AAGAAATAAATAGTTTGTCTATGAACTGTATAGCGCAATTGGGCCTCAGTGTGAGCCCAATTGGCAGGAGACTCCCGCAATAGGTAGATGGGTAAATACCAGTCCACAAATACTAGGATGATTCTTGTATAACTGGGCCTAGCTTGCACCACCCAAATGTTATATTGGGCCCAGCATCAAATTCGAACATATTCTGGATCTTCACACAGTGAGTAAAATTGAACATTTAGCTTTTTACAAACTGGACACAAACTTTAGAGGATATCCAAGGATTTAAACTAGCATAAATCTCGCAATGGTCTAATGTTTATTGTACAAGATATGATCACGTATTATCACTTAATCCAAGATATTAAACCTACATAAATTAGTTCGAATCTATTATCAAAACAGTCCAAAGTAATCTAACGACAGTCCGAAATAGTCTAGGAACAGTCCATGTTATACAGTCCAAAGTTCATTCGTACACAAATTAGAATCAAATCATCTTAAACTTTCATATCTACTTAGCTATTACTACATAACAACCAAAGTAAGTACAATTTAGGAATCAAATGTGCAAGCATCTCTTTATTTCATCTCCATTTATAGTTAAATCAAGCCGAATTTGAGCATGTACCTGGAATTTGAACCAAAAATGGAAGAGGAAGAAGTCAGCGGTAGTAAGCAGTAGCAGCTAATAGCCAAGCACTAGCTCGTACGCAGTCCAGCAATAACAGAAACAGACCAGAATCGAGATATGAAGGACACGACTCCAATAACCACGTAGCAGACTAGATTGAACCAAGACGAATTGAAACTAAACTTAGGAGGAGATTTCTGATCTTCAGCAACTAGAAATAACTCAGAACATACTGATTTGATCTCGAATTTGAGCAAAATTAGATTAGAAAACAAGACCAATCTTAAAACAATATAGCAGTGTCTTCTTTTAATGGGCTTCTTTTTTTTTTGTATGTTTTCTTTTGATTTTTTGCAGAAATGAGATCTAAAAGTAACTTGAACTTCAGGATTCAGATTTTTCTTTGAAATTTTCAGAGGTCCCCTCTAACTTGTTGAACAAGGCAGTGTATGTGCCTTTTTATAGGCAAAACCTAAGGTTAACTTCAGATTTTAGTTTTCTTTTTAGTCCCTTTCTTATTTAGTTTCTTAGTCCCTCATTTCTAAGACTTATTACCCAAGTAACAACACTTATTTCACCAAAACTACACTAAAGTCTTGTTCTAGAAGGTCCTATACCCATTACAATTCCCACACTACCCTTCCCTTACCTTTACAATTACCATTCCTAATAAAACTACCCTTTTCCATACCCAAGCTACCCCTGAAATTCCCTTGGAATTACTGGCTAACTAAACCCTCTTACTTTGAACCACAGTCAAGCAATTTTAAAACAGTTATAGCCAAAAAATCAATTTCAAGGCCGGATCCAAACTAAATAATGGGACTACCAGTCAATTGACTCTCACAAAATCAGTACCAAGACTTAAACTAGCCCGGATTAACGAGCAAATCAGAAACAGACCTAGAACTAATCAAAATTTCTAAATTAATAACATGAAACAAGAAAGAACTGAGAACCCTAATAGAAAACTAGAAGAAAGGAAATCTTACTTAATAAATTTTATTCTGATAAAATCACACTAACACATAGCTAACCAAGATCACAACAGACTAATAACCAGGCACAAAATCAAAACAAACATTAACGGAAATTAAATGCGTATCGGAGTAGAGGTTTAACAAGTATGAGAACAAGAAACAAACTAAACAAAATAAAGAAAGGAGAACCAAACTTAACTGACGCTCGAGACTCTGCCACTCTCCGATCTGACGTTTGAACCAATCCGGTGACATTCGACCACCACTGACACTGAATTCCTCATGAGGAAGACGAAAGGATCGCGTAGTATTAATTTGGAGAGGTTTGGGGCAATTAGGGTTTTGGCCGGAAACTTTGAATCCATATTCGAGAAGTTCCGGCCATTTTTGAGGATCAGGGCCTTGGGGGTTTGATAGAGGAGGTCGTGGTGGTCTTATGGTGTAAATTTGGTGGGGTTTGGTAAAGGTGGTATCCTGGCCGGAAATTTCGATCTAATATTCGAGCATTTTGGTTACGATTTGAGGGAAACTAGGTTGGGGGTTGGAAAGAGGAGGATGAGAGGATTGAGGGGTGTAATTTTTGAGTGATTTGGAGCTTCGCCGCCGCCGGCGGCGATTTCCGGCCGGCGGCGGACGGTGGCAAGAGGGTGGAGATACGGCAGGGTACGGTGAGGTACGGTGGGGTACGGTGGTGGTGTTACAGTTGTACGAGGAAGATGATAAGTGTTCTTGAGTTCATACAATTTTTCGGACACTTTTATTAAACCCCTTGGACTAATGAGGACCGTTAGATGATGGGGAACGGAGGGCCACGATTAATTGGTCTAACATTATTTCAAAACGACGTAGTTTCTCCCCTATACTACGTCGTTTTAAGAGCTTTTGGACCGGGCAGTTGGGCTAGTTTTGGACAGGTTTCAAGTGTGCAAATTTTGGGCTTTGATTTGGGCTGGGGTGAATTTAGCCCAAATTCCTTTTTTTTGATTTTGTTTTCTTGCTTTTGTATTCTATTTATTTATTTATTTATTTTGGTATTTTAGTATTTATTTATTTTTTCTGGTTTTATAAAAATGCTAGAACAAAACAAAGACTCAATTAAGCTATTTAAACTTCCTAAAATTACTTAAAAAACTCTATTTAGAAATACAACGCAACAATTAACAATTAAGAGCGCAACAGCCTATTTTTTGCAAGTTTTCTTTAAACTTTATTCTAAATCTAATTAATACCTAATTAATACTAAATTTGTAAAAATAAAAATCCCTAAATGCATGTGCGTATTTTCCTGTATTTTCATATTAAAATGCAACCAATTAACACCAAAATTCACACAAAAATTCACAAAAATTGTAAAATAATAAAGAAATCAATTATTTGAAACTTTTGGAATTAATTTGCTTAGGGCAAAAATTACGTGCTCACAATCCTAAAAATGTGAAATTAAATTCTAAATGCAAATGCCAAGTGTTTGTATTATTTTTTTTCATATGAATTACAAATGCACAAATAAATGCAAACAATTAACAGAAAATAACACAAACTTCATAAAATTGCAAAGAAATTATTTTGTTTGGAATTTTGGGAATAATTCATACATAGGGCAAAAATCACGTGCTCACAATTTCATTCATTGGAGAATGCTATACATGTTCGTTTCATACATATATTGGAGAAGTTTTCGTGTATCTAGTCCCTTCGTCGTTCGGCCAGGAGAAGCAGTCGGCAGGCGGGACGATGAATCTTACTTGAACTTCGAAACGTCCCCTTCGTCGTCTCGTTAGAAATCTTCCCGAGAAGACCCAATTGGGACAAAACCCGAGTGAGGAAAAAAGGGTACGACTTGAGGGGTGTCCTTTTTTCATAAGTTGAAGTATTTGAGGTGGGCGACATTCCAATTGTTGTGTAGTAGTTTTCCTTCCATTATTTCTAGTTGGAATGATCCTTTGCCTGCTTGACCATGCGAGTGCTTGCATTCCTGTTTGAACCAACAAAAGAGTGACGATAAACCAAAATGAAATTTTCTGTTACCTCGACCCAACGAGTCAGTGAGAGAAGGAGTGACGTCGTAATGTTACTCGCTCCGCCTGGTGCTCGAATGGTGGTTTTTAGATTTGGCGGCCGTGTTCGGCTCCGTCGTTAACAGCGTCTAGGCTTCGCATGGGTTGGGCCCACCTCACTCGCTGAAGTGTTGAAATCGAGTCCCGGTCCGATCTCGTCCGATTTGTACCAACAACAAGGGAATAATATCATACTTCGTTCATAGGCCATCCAGTGTGTGGGGGAATGTGAAAATAGGGCAGGATGTGCCCATTCTTTCAAAAGATCGCGCAGCAAGCTGTCGTCCCCTCCCAAGGGGTGGGAATGCGGGTCAATATATAAGGTAAATACGTCAAATGGGGCTGTGGTCATGCCAGATGACCGTGATTCTAATTCGAACGTGCATGCGTCGTGCCAAACCTATCGTTACAGGCGAGACGTGGATTTTGCATAGACATTGGTTATAACTTCTACTTTATGTAGCAACCTGACCTAGATCGGTACGGTTGTCTCGAAGGCTTACTTACCGCTCTTCCGAGAGGTTAGTGACATTTCGCCGGTTCTAGATCTAAAGGAAACTAAAAATTTGGCTAACAAATCCCCACAGACGGCGCCAAATTGTTTGACCAAAAAAGCGTTGAACCCTTTTGTTAAACTAATTATCAGAGATATAGAAGGTAAATCTTAGCCAAACATAATTAACTCTAGATCTAAATATATTGAGTACAAACATCGAAGAAGAATAAGAATGTATAATACTTCTTAAGATAATTAGCGTACATCAGATGTGGATGATAGGCTTACATCTGTAACAGGTATGTATCATAATCGTAGAAGCAAAGAAGGAGAAGAGAGGGAACTGTTGATGATCAAGAGATTCCTCCTGTTGATTCCATAGTGACCATTATCGGAAGCCCCCTTTATCGGGGCTCAACTCCCCATATATATATTAACAATTTTCCCTTTATCCAATGGTCTTTGACCAGCGTACTTTCTTATGATTGTATCCTTCACCACTCGCCCAAACACTACGCTTGTTCTGCGATATAAGCTTTCCGATGGTTTGACCCCGGCAATGGCCGAGGTGTTCTTTGCTATCACGCCCTGTGGGCGTGATTACGGCTTGGTCGACCCCTTGTCGTTCCCTTTAAGAATAACCATCCTATGGTCAGATTTTGACCCATACAGTTTCTATAGAGACATATAAAAAAAAACATAACAACTAAATGACTCTTTTATCGCTCCTCTAAAAGATTGATAATGGTTAAGAGATGTTTTAGAAAATTACATAAATCATCTATTAGATCAACAGTGGAATCGAAAAAAATGATAAATGTAATTTTGGTTTCGCATTATTTGCAACTAAAATGACATTTAAACTTGGACCAGAGAAGTTTGATTTTCTTAGCATTAATTAACTAAAGGTGGTACTGTTCAAATTTCAATAGCATTAAAACTTTACCTAAAATGGTGTAACAAGTCAAGCGCAATGCTTCTAACAGTTTCCAAGAACCTATTCTTGGTCTGAGTAGCCATGGACTTTGGTTTTTCCCAACAATATCGAGTAGTCACCTCAAATCGCGTAGCAAGTTGAGTATTTCCATTACACTTTCCAAGAACCTACTCTGAAGAGGTGGTTAGGTAAACAAATAAGTTATGCACAGATTGTAATACGTGGATTAGTAATTCAAAAATTAGTTTAATACAGAGCTACATATATAGTAATTATTTTTATTTAGTGTTTGATTATTTGTAATAAAAATGGAATATTCAGATATAAACATTGTATAATCAAAGAAAATGTGTTCGGTATAATATATCGTTTACAGTTATACACTTGTCTTTTTTTGTTGCAATATTATTTTGACTAAACAAAATCAAGTCCGCGTATGTATATTACTAATTGCTAATATGAAAAGTCGATCAAGTAGAACTAGAATCGCTTTCGCTTAATCCCAGAAGGACGTAGAGATAGAAGCAAATTTCAAAGTCTCAACCTTGGATGATTCTCATATAATCACCCGAAGAATATAATGAAGCTAATTCATTCCTCTCGACATAATCCAAAGTATGAACTATTGTACACTAAATTTAAACGATCTTGAGACGGACAGGAAAACCAAAAAGTAAAAAGAGAAGGTAAGTTTTTGTAGAACAATTCAACTACACATTATGTAGCATATATATCATCTCAAAAGACATCTAAATAGGAGTAGCAATTGAAGCTTTGATTACACAAACCAAACATGAAGATCCCATTACTTAAAAGACAAACAAAACGATAATAAAGGAAACAAACCTGTTGATAGTGAGACTATCTCTATTCATCACCAAGCACATATTTTTCAGCTAATTTTGATTACTTGCGTTCGAGTGCGGTCCAAATTTTCCAGCCTGCGGAAGCCGTAACACCCACTGCACCAACCACAGTAGCCACTGTACCTACTGCAGTTACCGCAGCACTCACTGTTCCTACAGCAGCAACTCTACCTACTACACTTAACGCAACACTCGCTATGCCTACTGCAGTACTCACTGAACCTGCTGCATTTACTGTAGCTTCGATCTTCTCCATGGTAGACAGAGGAGGAGGAGGATCTTGATCCTGCAATAATATGGCCTCCTGCATATACACCAAGGAACATGCCTCTTCAAAAGTTGGGAGAGGAACCCGAGATGAAATTATCTTTTGGACTGGCAAGTATTCAGAAGGTAAACCAGCAAGAAGTTGTAACACCATGTCTGGATCTGGTATAGGACTCCCAATCTCTGCTAGAGAAACTGCTATGGACTTCAATTTTTTCACATAGGCGTCGATTGTCTCATGATCTCCCTTGCTCATACCCTGAAATTGCATTTTGAGTTGAGCTCGTCTTATGTGATCTGGAGCTGAACTATCACCACTTTCCTCCATTGGAGAAACTCGTAATTGCTTTTCAGTGAGTGAAATCTATAGTCTCTCAGCCCTTTGTCATTTCTGATCCTTTAAGGAGTAGACCGGACCCTCTAATATGTCGAAGACCATAAATATACTATTACCATATGGTATTATGGAGTAAATTTGAGGAACGACCATATAATTATGATTTATTTTTTACACGAAAAAATTATAAAACTCTTATTAACTCGTACAAAAATTATAATGACCAGAATTCACAATTTTTCAGTAGTATTTTCTTATTTCATGTACTTTTAGTATTTATTTTTCAGTCTAATAAACAATAAGCCAATTAATATATATATATATATATATCCCTTATATTAGGAATGACCCAACTCAACCCGACTCAATACATATACATGAATTAAAATAATACTAAAAGTGAATCCTTCCACTACAAAAAAAAAACTTAGTTTGGAATGCAAGAAATTCTCGCAAAAAAAATATATATAATTAGGGAGCACTTGAAATAAAAATGCTATCAATTTGGATGAAATCTTGAAAAGAAAAATAAAATATTGAAATATCGTATTTTGAATGATTCAGTTTTAGTATTATTTTAATTTACATACATGGCTATTGGGTCGGGTGAGTCGGGTCGGGTCGGGTCGGGTTGTGCTATTCCTGTTTTAATTGAACTATTACTTATTAAACTGAAAATAAAAAATAAAAAATCCTGGAATAAGAAAATACTATTGAAAAGTTGTATTTCTAATCATTATGATTTTTGTGTGGGTTAGTAAAAGTTTTAATGATTTTTGTGCGAGAAAATTTACTTATTTAATTCTATTAAAAAGTTATAATTATATGATCATTTATGAAATTTATCATGTAGATGTTAGATTATTTTGTAATCTGATAATTAAAAATTGCATTAATTACACAAGACTATTTAATTGTAATGTGTGAGTATAAAAGAATGTGGAAAAAAAGAGGGATTGAACAACGACAGCTTAGTATGTCTTCCTTTTGATTAAAATAGTACGATAAGATAACAAATTATTCTTCATCACTCACGAACGGCTAATTTTATTGGAGGATGAAAAGGAGTAAGAGCTGAAGTTTTTGTTTTGTAACTGGTGAACTTTCAGCTCTAAGAGTTGAAGTTTTCGTTTTGTAACTGGTGAACTTCAGCTCTAGGAGCTGAAGTTTTTGTTTTGTAACTGGTGAACTTCAGCTCTAGGAGCTGAAGTTTTAACTGATTTTTTTGATAATGTTCTGATGTTATTTTTTGTATATTTTACTTTTTTTTTTAACAGATGGCACCTAAAGCACCTAAAGATCCTAAAGCAGCTAAAGCACGTCAAGCAGCTAATGCACTTAAAGATCCTAAAGCACCTAAAGGACCTAAACAACCTATAATACCCCCATGTCCTTTAGTCCTTATTGCTCCTAAACAACCTACAAAACCAGAGGATAGATATTATGAGTTTGGAGATTGGTTTAACTGTAAGGGTTACTGGAAGGTGAACCACGATTTGAAGAGTTTAATTTCAAGTTTCTTGACTCCTGCACAACGGGATAAGCTTAATAATGGTACATATAGATATATTATGGCTATGGAGAATTTCAAATGCAGCATGAAGTTGGTTCATTGTTTGTGTCTTTCTCGAATATTCACCAATGATCGAGACTCCATTAGTTTCAAGATTTTTGGCCATGATGTTTCCTTCACCCTTGAAGATTTTCACATTATGTGCGGTTTGCGGATCACAACACATAATATTGAAAAACCAATGTTTGTAGAATTTCTTAGACGTTCGTGGATTGTGACACCAGATCATTAGGGTAGTCATGTATTAGAATTGTTGAACTGTTATAACACTTCCGCACTTTATCTCTTTTTGGCTTAGCTATTATTTAATTCTATTTTGGTTAATAATTATTGCGATAAAACTATATTTGTAAGCTTGCCTAGCTTTCAAGAGTAGGCGCCATCACGATCCCGACGGTGGAAAATCCGTGTCGTGACACGCCATCTTGGGCGAAGTCAGTTTCTGACTGATATATTCGAACGAGGTCGAACTTCAATCTGTCGATTCGGGTGGGCGAATTTTTACTTTTCCTTGGCGATGTCGATGGTCGTAAAGATGTGAATTTGAGAGATCGAAATTGTAATCCGTTGTAAATTCGAGCGTGGTCGGAATTTTCTTTTATTTAACAGTGGTCGATGACCGTAAGGTGTTAACTCGAGCGAGGTCGAATTGTAACCCGTTGTAGATTCGAGCGAGCTCGAACTTTTCATTCGTTTGGCAATGGCCGATGGCCGTAAGAGTGTTAATTCGAGTGATGTCGAATTGTAACCCGTTGTATTATTTTCATTGGAGAACATTACTTGTCGCGATGTTGTTTACGCGTGCGTCGGGGCAAGTCCCGGTTCGCTTAACTTTGCTTTCATTGGAGAATACTGTGCGTTTCATGGGTGAGTCCTAGTTTTCTTAACTTTGCTTTCATTGGAGATTGTTTTTCAATAGTCGACCCGTGCCGAACCGTTTCTGTTATTTGTAGTATGGTGCGGCTTAGAGGGCTTTGCTCAGTCGTCGCTTACGAGATGGCATGGTATGGAGCCTTTCCTGGGGTGTTTTTGTGGCGTTCGTTCCTTGTTCGTGTACCTATGGGAGTGCTCATGTTCCTGTTTTGAACCAACAAGAGAGTGTGATAAGTTAAACCTAAATGAAATTGCATGTTACCTTGTCCTGGCAAGTCGGTGAAAGGAGGAGTGGCGCTGTAGGGTCATTCGCTTCGCCTCGTACTCGAATGATGGTTTCAGATTTGGCAGCCGTGTTCGACTTCGTCGTTAATCGCATCTAGGCTTCTCATGAGTCGGACTTACCTTGCCCGTTGGGGTACCGAGACCGAGTCACAGTCCGACCCCGTCCGATATGCGCAAGCAATAAGGGAAACATGTCATACTTTGCTCATAAATCATCCAGTTCGTGTGGGTACGAAAATAAGGCAGGGTATGCTCGCTATTTTGAAGGGTCACACAGCAGGCTATTGTCCCTCCCTAAGAGGTGGAAGTAGAGGCCGGTATATAAGGTGAATACGTCATATGGGATTGCGGTCAAGCCAAGCGCATAGTGACCGTGATTCTACTTTAAACATGCATATGACATGCCAAACTCATCGCTACAGGTGAGGCATGGGTTTTGCAGAGACATCGGTCATAATTTTTATTTTATGTAGAGATCTGACCTAGATTGGTACGGTCATCTCAAAAGCATATCTACCATTCTTTCGGATTGGTGTTTATACCGAGATGGTGAGGCTATGATAGCCTGGAAGTGATACTTGGCTGGTTTCTAGATCTAAAGGAAACTAAAAAATTTGGTTAAGAAATCCCCACAGACGGCGCCAAATTGTTTGACCAAAAAGTGTTGAACCTTTTAGTAAAACTAACTAATAAAGAATATAGAGGATAAATTCTAGCCAAACATAATTAACTTAGATCTAAGCATACTGAATACGAGAAACGAATGAGACCAAGCTTGTGTAACATTTCTTAGGACGATTAAAAGACATCAGACGTAAATGGTAAGCTTACATCTTTGACACATTGTTCCGTATTTGAAAGAGCGAAGAAGAAAAAGAAGGAATCTCATTGAGAACTATGAGATCTATCTTTTTTGATTCAACAGTGACGATTACAAAGGCTTGTAAATAAAATCTAGTCTTTTCCTTTGTCGTTGGAGGTCTCCTCTCGTTCTTCTGTTCCTTATTCTCTTTGTTTTTGGGAACCCCCCCCCCCCCCCCGCCTTCATGCCTTCTTCTGTCATATATATATATATGTATGTATGTATGTATGTATATATATTAGCCATCTTCCCCTTTGTCCAATGGTCTTTAACCAGCATACCCCTTCTTGACTATACTCTTCTTTACTCGCTCAAGCGTTAGGGCATATATTCTGCCGTGCAAGCCTTTCGATGGCTCGATCTCGGCAGTGGCCGAGACACTCGTCGCCATTACGCCTTACGGGTACGATTATCGCTTTGTCGACCCCTTACCATTCCTTTTAATGGTAATTCACTTGTGGTTTGATTTTGACCCATACAGTTAATACAAATATATTTGAATACACTGAATATAAAATAGCGAATACAGTAAAAACAAACATTGAATCTAATGAATGCAAAAAAAATATTGAAACACACTAAATACAAAAGTTAAATACAAACAGTTATATACAACTGAAAAATTATTCTAATTAATTGGTTGATAATGAAGCATGTTATAATTGATATTGTTGAGTTATATTATGAGTGTATCACGCTAATTGATATTATTTCCGTTATTAGACAGCTGGACATACCTATTTTTAAGGTGATTGTCGTTACTGCATTCATAAATACATGTGAATATATGCGCGTACAACTGGAATGCCTTGATTTTAGGCGCTTTTTGCTGCTGTATTCATGAATACATCAGGGTGAATACGACGAATACACTACTGTAATAACTGAATAGTAGCTATAGGAAGTAATTATGTATATGGTAGCTATAGGAAGTTAATAGCCACTAAACAATAGTGGTTTCTAAAAATTCCTCAAAAATGTTACTCCCTCTATTTCAATTTGGATGACACACTTTTCCTATTAGTCCGTTCAAAAAAGAATGACACATTTCTACAATTAGAAACTATTCAACTTTAAACTCATTTTACCCTTAATGATAAACTTATATAACCATACAAATGTCATGGTCCCACAAAGGTTTTACCATTTAATCTTTTAAGACCATAAATTTTAAAAGTCTTTTTTTTCTTCTTAAACTTTGTGTCAAGTCAAGCTACCTCATCAACATTGAAACGGAGGAAGTATTATTTTTTTGTTACGTACTAAAAAAATACTCCTGTAATATAGATGAAGTTACTACAATAACTTAGCAAAAAAAGATGGGTAGTGTACAGGTATAAAAGGACAAAAAGGGGTCAATTGGTTTTTAGTCTCTTTACAAATTTATTTTTAGTTTTATGATCCTATTTCTTTCTTTTATACATAAAAAATCTAAAAAGGTCATTTTTTTAAATTTAAAATTATAAAGAAACATGACATACAAATAGCACAAAAGGGGACACGC